GAACAGAAAAAGGACGTCAATGGAAAATCTGATGAAATCCAAATAAAGTCTGTCATTAGTTTACAGTGTTGTACTCATGTTAATTTGTGTTTTTGTACTATTAGTAATAGTAAATGGTAAATGTACTATTGTTATTTAAGATATTAACACTAGGGAAAACTGGGTGATAGGCATTCAGGAACTTTCTGTATTATTTTTGCAACCTCACTGTTAAATCTAAAATTATTTCAAAATAAAAATCTAACACACCCACCCCCCACACACAGACACACACCACCCACACCACACACCAACATGCTTTTGGTTGGCTGACAGAGAGGCCTTTTAGCTCAGACTGAGAGGCAAAGAGAGAGCCAAATTGCTTTGCCTTAAGAAAGTCACAGAAATTTGGGGAGGGACACTAGAGAATAGGGGCAAAGAGCAAAGAGGAGACAAGGACCCAGCTACAGAGCTCTGTGAAGAGGCAGTCATGCAGAGGGAGTGACTGAGGGAATTTTAAGAACAAGATCCACATAGGCAAAGAGAGGAAAAAATGAAAGAAGACAAAACCAGAGAGGGAGACAAACCATAAGAAACTCTTAATCTCAGGAAACAAACTGAGGGTTGCTGGAGTGGAGGGGGGTGGGAGGGATGGGTGGCTGGGTGATGGACACTGGGGAGGGTATGTGCTATGGTGAGCCTGTGAATTGTGTAAGACTGATGAATCACAGACCTGTACCTCTGAAACAAATAATACATTATATGTTAATTAAAAAAAAAAAACAAGATCCAAAAGTTGAGGTTGTTTGTGGACAATAATGTGCTACAAGCATCCTTGTGTGGTGCTTTGGGGATTGAATGAATCAGGATGACAGCACAGCTCTGACACAGGATGGCAAAGGGACAATACTGCATGGGAGGTAAAATAGAAAAAAAAAAAAAAGAAGAAGAGAAGTCAGCAGAACTTAAAGACAGAGGCAACTAGAAAATATATGGGTACCACAGGAATTTCCAGAGTTTTCAAAGGAACATGGGGTTTCCCAGTATACTATGCTTCTGGACTATTTTACTTAAAGTTTATGTTATTTTATACTTTGTCTTTAAAAAAATTGTTCCTTCTTTTCCCCTCCTCTCCCTGCCACCCCCGTCTCCCATCCTTCTGTCTTCCATTTGCCTGGATTTCCTTCCCTCCCACCAACAGTTAACCACAATTGTTAGTTTTCTAAGTATCATTCTAGAAATTGTAAACATTCATTTACAATCAAATAAGAATATATATTATCCTTCTCTTTATTATTACACAATTAGCATATTCTACATAGTTATCTGCACCTTGCTTCTTGTGCTTAATGATATTTCTAGTAGATTTTTCCATATCAGTTCATGAACAGCTTCCTTGTTCTTTTATACAACTAACAGTATGCCATTGACTCTATGTACTGTAATGTTTTTTTTTAAACAGACCCTATTGCTAGATATTATGGTGATTCCAGTGGAATTGCTGGGTGAAGTATACATGCATTATTTTTTTTAAGGATTTTATTTATTTGAGAGAGAGAGAAAGTGAGTGGGGGGAGGGGCAGAGGGGGAGGGAGAGGGAGAGGGAAAGAATCTCAAGCAGACTCCATGCTGAGCACAGAGCCTGATGTGTGGCTCAATGTCACGACCCCAAAATTATGACCTGAGCTGAAACCAAGGGTCGGATGCCCAACCAACTGAGTCACTCAGACACCCCCAGGTATTATTTATTTTTATAGATATTGGTAAATTGTCCTGCAAAGAGGAATTTTATTTAATTAAATTTATTTTTTTAATTTTTATTTAAATTTTAGTTAGTGAACATACAGTGCAATAATGGTTTCAGGAGTAGAATTCAGTGATTCATCACATACATACAACACCCAGAGCTCATCACAAAAAGTGCCCCCTTTAATACCCATCACTCATCTAGCCCATCCCCCACCCACCTCCCTCCATCAACCCTTAGTTTGTTCTCTATCATTAAGAGTCTCTTACGGCTTGTGTCACCTCTCCTTTTCTTTTCCCCCTTCCCATATGTTCATCTGTTTTCTTCCTTAAATTCCACATATGAGTAAGATCATATGGTATTCGTCTTTTTCTGACTAACTTATTTCACTTAGCATAATACACTCTAACTCCATCCATGTCATTGCAAACAGCAAGATTTCATTCTTTTTGATGGCTGAGTAACATTCCATGGTATATATATCACATCTTTATCCATTCATCAGTTGATGGGTATTTGGGCTTTCTCCATAGTTTTGGTATTATTGATGACACTGCTATAAACATCAAGGTGCATGTATACCCTTTGAATTTCTTTTTTTAAGGATTATTTATTTATTTATTTGAGAGAGAGAAAGCATGAGTGGGGGAAAGGGCAGAGGGACAAGCAGAATCCCCACTGAGCACAGAGCCCGATGGGAGGCTTGATCCCAGGACCCTAAGATCATGACGCAAGCCAAAGTCAGATACTTAACCCACTTAGCCAGCCACCCGGGCACCCCTAAAATCTGTATATTTGTATCCTTTGGGTAAATACCTAGTAGTGCAATTGCTGGGTCATAGGGTAGTTCTATTTTTAATTTTTTGAGGAACCTCCAAACTGTTCTCCAGAGTGGTTGCACCAGTTTGCATTCCTACCAACAGTACAAGAGGGATCCCCTTTCTGCACATCCTCGCCAACACCTGTTGTTTTTTGTGTTGTTAATTTTAGCCATTCTGACAGGTGTAAGGTGGTATCTCATCATGGTTTTGATTCGTATTTCCCTCTTGGTAAGTGATGTTGAGCATCTTTTCATGTGACTATAAGCCATCTGGATGTCTTCTTTGGAAAAGTGTCTATTCATGTCTTCTGCCCATTTCTTAACTGGATTATTTATTTTGGGGGTATTGAGTTTGGTAAGTTCTTTATAGATTTTGGATACTAACCATTGTCAGATATATAATTTGCCAATATCTTCTCCCATTTTGTAGTCTGCCTTTTAGTTTTTTTGTTTCCTTCGCTGTGCAGAAGCTTTTTATCTCGATGAAATCCCAATAGTTAAGTTTACTTAATTTTTTAAAATTGACAGAGAGAGCACAAGCACAAGCAGGGGGAGAGGCAGGCAGAGGGAGAGGGAGAAGCAGTCTCCCCACTGAGCAGGGAGCCTGAAGTGGGGCTCAATCCCAGAACCCTGGGATCATGACATGAGCCAAAGGCAGATGTTTAACCGACTGAGCCACCCAGGCACCCCAAGTTTACTTAATTTCATTTCATTTATTTTTTTTAAAGATTCCATTTATTTATTTGACAGAGAGAGACACAGTGAGAGAGGGAACACAAGCTGGGGAAGTGGGGGAGGGAGAAGCAGGCTTCCGCTGAGCAGGGAGCCCAATGTGGGGCTCGATCTCAGGACCCTGGGAATCATGACCTGAGCCAAAGGCAGATGCTTAACGACTGAGCCACCCAGGCACCCCCAAGTTTACTTAATTTTAAGGACAAGTTGATCATAGTAAATTGGAGGATTAAGGGGAAAGCAGTCAAGTGAAATCACAAGGTCCTAAATAAAGTCCTAGAGGGGGTGCCTGGGTGGCTCAATTGGTTAAGCATCTGCCTTCGGCTCAGGTCATGATCCCAGGATCCTGGGATTGAGCCCCTCATTGGGCTCCCTAACCAGAAGGGAGCCCGCTTCTCCCTCTCCCCCACTTGTGCTCTCTCTCACTCTGTCACTCTCTCTCAAATAAATAAATAAAATCTTAAAAAAAAACTTAGAGGATTCACCATAGGGTGACCCCAATCTAAGCACATTAGAATGACCAGAACTAGCTTAATGCCTCCAGATGTTCCTCATCATTTCTAGTCCATATTCTTTTTTTAAATACTGAAAATTCCAGCAATTCTACATCTAGGAATATCCCATGACTATGCCATCAGACTTATGAAATGGCATGTGTACAAGATTATTGTTCAAGGCAAAAGCAGCAACCTAAACATCTACCAATAGGGAACTGGTTAAATAAATTATGGTATTTAATCATATAGTAGAAGATTAAGCATCTATAAATAAGAATGGAGAGGTTCTTTTTGTGGTGATATGGCATAATGTCTAAGATTTACTGGGAAATGATTCAAAAAAATTTAGGGCACAGGGGTGCCTGGGTGGTTTAGTCGTTAAGCGTCTGCCTTGGGCTCAGGTCATGATCCCGGGGTCCTGGGATCGAGCCCCGTGTTGGGCTCCCTGCTCCGTGGGAGGCCTGCTTCTCCCTCTCCCACTCCCCCTGCTTGTGTTCCCTCTCTTGCTGTGTCTCTCTCTGTCAAATAAAAACAAAAAAATCTTTTTAAAAAATTCAGGGCACAGCAATGCACATAAAGGTCATCATTGTGTAAAAGGGAAAAGGAGACTATGATACACATATATACATATATATGAATAAAATAGCTCTGGAAAAATACACACAGAAAAGCTATGGTTGTTGGGCGTTGCCTGGCTGGCTCAGTCAGTAGAGCATGTGACTCTTGATCCCAGGTTCATGAGTTTAAGTCCCATATTGGGCATGGGGCCTACTTAAAAAAATTAAAATGAAAAATATAAAAAACAAAATTTAAAAATCCAGAGCAGATTGTACTAGAATAATTAAAAAAAAAAAGATATGAGTGTTTACTTCTAAGGAGAATAACTGAGTAGCTGAAGGGCAGTTACTACAAAGTTTTGTGAAACTTCCAAATTTTGAACCATATGGATGCATTACACATTTGCAAAATAAAATTGTCAAGTAAGTTTCCTGAAAGAAGATTGACCCATTAGGTACTAACTGTTGAAAGCAAATCAAGGCCATAGTGATTATAAACACCACAGAAAAATGTTTAATCTTGACTTTGGAGCTCCTGCACAGCATCTTGCCTTTAGCTGATACCTTGAGGGGTCCCTTCTGTTCCCACTCAGCGTTATTTCTTTGTACTTTAAAATGGGTGTATCATTTTAGTGGATAATGTCGATTGGCTTTCTACCCTTCTCTAGGGTGCCTTCCTGTAATAGGAGAGGCTAGAACACCAAAACCTGCAATCCTGGCTCCTTCGCAGGTCCAACTCTGGATGTGAGTTGGCTTCTGTCAATTAGACACGTTCAAGTGAGATTTGGAAGGGCAGAAATCAGGTGAGAGCTCTTTTCTTGTTCTTCATACTTACTTTTCTGCTGCAGGTGAGGTCACAGACATGTGAGATTTTATTGTTTTACAACAGCACCTTCAGTTTTCCTTCTACAGCTTTCTGGGGGTTGGAGTGCGCTTACTGTGGCAACAAAAGCCATGTTGGACTCCTGAACCCTGCAACAATGGATTCTGCTTCCATGGTATTGTGGTCTTGAACTCAGTCATCCCAAGTAGTGGCCTCAGAAGGCAGCCCCCTGGTGAGTCAGTTCTATATTGCTCTAGAAGTCATTCCTCACATCCTAGCCTAGAACCTGCTCTTCAGCCCTTTCCAAGATCTTCTAAGCACATAAATCTATATAATATATCCCTTCGTGCTTAAGGTAAGTCCAATGGTTTCTGTTTCCTGCACTAAACCCTAGCTCGTACAATCAGTAAGATTTTAGAATACATTGAAATGTTGTGCCTGGACCCTCAAATTCTAATCCAGGTTATTCTCATTACTACACCCCCCCCCCCACCCTTCCCGCCATGGTCCTGGCCTGCCCTTCACTGTGATTCCAACCTGACCCCAAGCTAATAAGACATGCAGAGCCCAAATTCAGTAGCCCTCTGGCTTTGCTGCTTGTTCTAACCTTTGTTCCAGGTTTTCCAGCCTCAGGCATAAGCTCCCCTCTGGAGCTGAGTTTCTACAGTTGTCACTCAGTTTCTGAGAACTGGATTTTCGTTTAGTATCTTGGAAGCTGAGTTCCTGCATAGATGATTAGAAAATTATCTGGATCTCCAGAACTGCAAGTTCTCCAGACTGGAAACCACCTCAGGGAGCCAGGACTAACAGCGTGGCTATACAGGTGGTTTAAATACTGAAACAGCTACTATGCTGGACACGCCAGTGTTTCCTCACACTTCCCCTCCCACCTGGAGGCCACCCAGGCCCTCCCTCCAATGCATCCACTCAAGAGTTAATGCTCTGTGCAGCAGGGTCCTCTAGGCACTGTTCCATAGCCATGGTCAACTTCAATTTTGATTAGTCTTTGTTCCCGATTGGTTGTCAAATATTTTGAAGAGCATCTCTGTATACAAGCCTGTGTATTTGTCTTTGCTGATTGGGTAATCCTTTTTACCTCTATTATTTCTTTGCAGCTGGGATACTTGCCTTCCATTTATTCCATGAATCTTGACTGTTCAGTTCTGGGGACTATTATTATCCAACTCTTGGTTTTAGATTCCAGTTTCTACTGATGTCCAGGATTTTTATATTATCTATCATATCCTTCTGACAGATCTCTTAAGTTTGATCAACCTCCCTAACTCATAATTGCAGAAAAGACTCTGGGATTATGGACACCTTTTAAAAGCCTCAATTTTTACCTGCCTTTAGTCTCAGGCTTCTGAATCAATCCTATTCTAAGCTATATTTATAAGAAATAATTAATATTTTAAAAACTGTATTTTAAAAACATTTTAAACGGGGCGCCTGGGTGGCTCAGTCGTTACGTGTCTGCCTTCGGCTCAGGTCATGATCCCAGGGTCCTGGGATCGAGCCCCACATCGGGCTCTCTGCTCCATGGGAAGCCTGCTCCTCCCTCTCCCACTCCCCCTGCTTGTGTTCCCTCTCTCACTGTGTCTCTCTGTCAAATAAATAAATAAAATCTTTAAAAAAAACATTTTAAACATTAAAATATGCTTAAATTCTTTAGGCTAAAGAAAAGTTTATCTCATGTCCATTATATATATATATATTTTTAAAGATTTTATTTATTTATTTGAGACAGAATGAGAGAGAGAGAGAGAGAGAGAGCACATGAGAGGGGGGAGGGTCAGAGGAAGAAGCAGGCTCCCTGCTGAGCAGGGAGCCCGATGCAGGACTCAATCCAGGGACTCCAGGATCATGACCTGAGCCGAAGGCAGTCGCTTAACCAACTGAGCCACCCAGGCGCCCTCTCATGTCCGTTATTAAAAAATAAAATTTCTTGTTATAATTTAGGTCTTCTCTTTAAATAGCTACAATAATTAAATTGTACACCCCTATATTGAGTTAATCTATGTTACTGGGAAACACTGTTAAAATCAAGACAATTTGACAAAATTGGTCAAATTCACTCAACCTCTATAAAAGCTGGCAACTTTTATGCTGCAAAACACATATTAGGTTTTTCCATATTACTTGGATCATTATTCCACCATATAGAGAACCAATGGTTGCTCGAAGTTATAGAATTCATAATACACCTACCTTTTATTTATTTATTTTTAAGATTTTATTTATTTATTTGACAGAGAGAGAGACAGCGAGAGAGGGAACACAAGCAGGGAGAGTGCAAGAGGGAGAAGCAGGCTTCCCGCTGAGCAGAGAGCCTGGCGGGGCTCAATACCAGGACCCTGAGATCATGACCTGAGCCAAAGGCAGACACTTAACTACTGAGCCACCCAGGCGCTCCTACACCTACCTTTTAAAGAATATTGGTGCTTCTCTTCTAAGGAATCTAAGAAGGGGGTTGCAAGATAAGTTCACAAGGGGAGAACATTTAAAGTAGAAGAAATTCAAATGGGCCCATACTACCTTCTTTTTCAGAAAGGAAAATCAAGGACATATCCTAAATTAGAAGACAAGAAATCCTTGTGAAAATATATTAATCTGTGTCAGCAAACAAGGGCAAAAATCGAAAAAGAAGACATGGGATACAAGAACACAGTAACTAACCAAGAGTCCAGTAAAGAACAATGCCAAGATGTGGCAGATCTGGAAGGCATCTATCTCCCGAGGACATAAGTCAGTGGGCTCCATGTATTCAAAGAACGGAAGTATTTCATGCTATGGATGGATAAAAGAGGCACATATGTCTTCTCTTCAGTAGGGAAAAAGAAAGGCAATTGGGATTTGTAGGAAAAACAAATAAAACAAAATCTCAAGATAGCCATGGCCCAGATATGAAGCAAACTAAAATGTGACTTGATTTTGAACATGATGGAATTCAAGGAAAGGGACATTTTCTCTTAAGTGGCAGAGGGAGGGGTCAAAAAGTGGACTCATGAAAGAGGAAATGTTGTCCTGGGGTAGCACCTGTTTCTGCACTGAGTAATGTTTACATTGTGATAACAGAGCAAATGTTGTTGACAGCCATTCAAAGTTTAGAATCGATTATGGACAAAACATTGAATATTTGTCTATGGCTACAGAACAGAATGTAGTTGTCATTAACCTTGATGTCATAAAATTAAAAGATAGAAAGCAAAACTGAAGCTGACAGAGGTTGGTTGGAAGGAGAGAAGGAAAGGAAGGTATGGTAACGGCTTGGGGAGACAAGAACTACTGTAAAAAAAAAAAAGCTGATGAACAAGAAACAGCAGCTTAAGTTATAAAGACTTTCAATATAATAAGTAAAGATAATGTACTATAACTGGAGCGGAGAGAGAATAGCTTAAGTAGTTAAATCTTTACTTTTTAGGGGCGCCTGTGTGGCTCAGTCGTTAAGTGGCTGCCTTTGGCTCAGGTCATGGTCCCAGGGTCCTGGGATCGAGTCCTGCATCGGGCTCCCTGCTCCAAGGGAAGCCTGCTTCTCCCTCTCCCACTCCCCCTGCTTGTGTTCCCTCTCTCGCTGTGACTCTTTCTATCAAATAAATAAATAAAATCTTAAAAAAAAAAATCTTTACCTTTCAAAGGTAGGAGTAAATGTCTACAATTGATACATCAAGAAATATTAACATAGGACTATTATTTAGTTATAAAGATGACTATATGAAAAACAAATGAGTTGCCACAGAGAAGCAGTACTGGAATGAGTGGGGAAGAAGCAGTAGGGGCTGTAATATTTTTTTTTTAAGATTTTATTTATTTATTTGACAGAGAGAGAGACAGCGAGAGAGGGAACACAAGCAGAGGGAGTGGGAGAGAGAGAAGCAGGCTCCCCACTTTAGCAGGGAGCCTGATGTGGGGTTCGATCCCAGGACCCTGGGATCATGACCCAAGCCGAAGCAGACACTTAACGACTGAGCCATCCAGGCACCCCAAGAGGCTGTGGTATTTCATTGTAAGTCCTCTGGACTGGTTAATTTTTTTTTTTTACTAAATATTAATTTAATTCTTAAAACAGTTAATAAAAATAAAAATGCAATGAATTGCAAATGGGCATAATAATTTTTGTTCTTAGCATATCAAATGTGGGGAGAACATTTTAGAAAATAATAAACAAATATCATAAATAAATGCAGTTAAATAAGAAATTTGATAATAGTTTCTAAAGGATATTAATACGTGGGGGCGCCTGGGTGGCTCAGTTGGTTAAGCATCTGCCTTCAGCTCAGGTCATGATCCCGGGGTCCTGGATCTAACCCCGCATGCGTCGGGCTCCCTGCTCTCTCCTCCCCACTCGTGTTCTCGCTATCTCTGTCTCTCTCTCAAATAAATGTTATTTTGAAAAAAGAATATTAATACTTATATTCCTTAAGTAATTATCACTTATTTTTTACTTCAAAGATTTCTAGACATGTGAGGTAGTCATGGAATACAAGATATTAAGCACAATTTTTAAAAAAATATCAGATGACCTGAGGTTTTGCTACAGATTGATGAAGGTTTTGTGGACATTTCCTTGCCTAGTGAGAAATAAAACCGAATGATGGGGTAAAGGAACTCTCAGCACTTTCTAACTTCTCCATTTTAATGGGGGCACCTTCAAGCTATGCTCCTGAGGAGTAGAGCATTGATAAGTACTTTCCTACTATGTCATTTTGCTCAAGCACAAAATAAGCAAAAGAAGACGGGGAGAGATTTATCCTCTCCCGTTTGTTGGGACAAGTAGCTGTGGCTTGAACAGCTTTAAAAACTTGCACAGTATGTGAACTCTTTCAGGGCTGGATTCTTATCCCCGTATTGAATATCATTTAACTTTTTGTTTTTAATGAGATTTCCTAAGAAATGTCTAAAATGTCATTGAAAATCCTTTCATTATTCTAGAAGCCACACAAATTTTCTTTCATACTCTATCTCCAATGTATATTAGCTGTTCTCCACTTTCCTGTAACCTAGTTTATCTATAATCTTGTATAAAAATCTCTCCCTTGCTATATTTTGAGACAAGCGTGGGCTACTTACAAGGTAGCTAGTAATGAAGTTCTGGTCCAGTTTTAGTTCATACATAAATAAGGGGAAAACCATAAAAAATACTCATAGAATAAGAGCAGCACAAATTTTTGATAATTAAATAAATACTGAATATTTATTATATACTAAGCACAAAGTAGCTGATAAAATTCTGTATCGAGATAGGACTAGAAGCATTATTCTATCCCTGGTAGCACTTTAACTGGTTGGCATTTTAGAAAATGCATTCATTTTGTGTAGGATTTCTCATTTTTGGCAATATTGACATTTTGGACCAGATAAGTCTTTGTTGTAGGAGGCTGTCCTGTGCATTGTAGGATATTTAGTAGCATCCCTGATTTTTTTTTTTTAAGATTTTATTTATTTGACAGAGAGAGACAGCGAGAGAGGGAACACAAGCAGGGGGAGTGGGAGAGGAGAATCAGGCTTCCTGCTGAGCAGGGAGCCCGATGCGGGGCTCGATCCCAGGACCCTGAGATCATGACCCAAGCCAAAGGCAGACGCTTAACGACTGAGCCACCCAGGTGCCCCAGTAGCATCCCTGATTTCTAACACTGGGTGCCAGTAACATTCCCTCCCCTTCTCACCCTCCTTCCACCCAGTAGTGACAACCAAAAATGTCTCCAGACTTTGCAAAATATTTGCTGAAGGCAATATTATACCTGCTTGGGGATCACTGAGTGTGATTGTATTTAAAAACTAAAATTTATTTTAGACACTACTGTGCCAACTTTGCCTACTTCTTACATGATGAATTTGTCTTGCACGGAGTTGAACACCCGAACTTGAGAAATACAAACCATGATGGACTCTGATTCTTCGGTAGGATAAATGAAATTGTTAGCATTGCAATTGATGGCATTTTCAATTAACTTATGAATAGCAGGACAAATACGATTAGGTATTTTTAGCTTACAGAGGTCTATCTTAAACCATACATGGCTGATAAAAAATGTGGAATCTAAGTTCTAGGATTTCTCTTGAGTTAACCAGATGGTGTGCTTATGATCTGCCTACAAAATCTTTCCATTCTTTTCAAATAAAAAGCTATTTTTTACTTTCCACTTTAAGATCAGATGCTTTTCAATTCTTTCCAAGTGAAAAAATATAGGCTATGTTAGACACTAAAATAAACTATTACAAGTCCTGGGATTCCTGGAACTTGTGACACTCTAGGGGAAATGTCACCTACATTCATGATCTTTACCCTCACATTCTTTTATCTTCACATACCGTAGGTTTCTAATCTATCCTTATAATGATAGCAAACACACATATACTTATTATGTGCCAAACACCATGCTAAGCTCTTTTACATACATTTAAAATTTTTCCACTTTATTGATGTATAATTGATACACAAAAAACTGCACATATTTAATGTATAGTTTGATGAGTTTGTACATATGCATACAACCATGAAACCATTACCATAATCAAGGTAATAAATCAGAATTTCAGACAGAAAAGTTGCAAAAATAAGACAAAGAGCTCCTTAATATCTTTCACCCAGATTCACCAATTGTTAACAGTTTGCATTTGCTTCTCCCTATCCCCTTCATAAGTGTGTGTCTATATGTAATTTTTTTCATGAACCATTTAAGAGTGAGTTACATTATGTCATCTCTAAATACCTCAATAGTGAGTTTTTACTAAAATCATCGGAACTGTAATTAATGTAATACTATTATCTAATCTACATTCAGTTTTCACCGTTTGTCCTAAAAATGTCTTCTAAATTAGAAGAAAATACAAGACTATATGTGCATTCAATTGTCATGCCTCCTTAGCATCCTTTAATCTGGCAGTCTTTCTTCATAGTTAAAGGACATTGATATTTTTGAAGAGCACAGGTCAGTTGTGTTGTAGACAGTCCCTCAGTTTGGATTCGTCTGATAGCCCCTCATGATTAGATTCAGACTAAGTGATTTGGCAAGAATACCACAGAAGTGATGCTGAGTTGTTTTTTGTTGCTTTTTTTTTTTTTCCCCAATGCTGAGTTCTCGTCAGTGCTTCAGAAGGCATATAATATTGGTTTGTCCCACTATTAGTGATATTATCTTTAATATTGGTTAAGGTGGTATCAACCAGATTTCTCCACTGTCAAGTTATTAGTTTACTCTTTGTACTTAATAGGTATCTTGTGGAAAGATATTCTGAGCCTATGGAAATATTCTGTTATTCCTCAAACTTTCATCCACTAGTTTTAGCATCCATAATTATATTATGGTTGTCAAATGATGCTTTTCTAATTCCCTCAGTTCTTCCACATGACTTTCTACTTTAAAAATGACCTTTATCTGGCCACCTGGGTGGCTCAGTTGGTTAGGCGACTGCCTTCAGCTCAGGTCATGATCCTGGAGTCCTGGGATCGAGTCCCACATCGGGCTCCCTGCTCAGCGGGGGTTCTGCTTCTCCCTCTGACCCTTCCCCCTCTCATGCTCTATCTCATTCTCTCTCTCAAATAAAATAAATAAAATTTTTTAAAAAAATGACCTTTATCTATCTATAGATATACTATTGTGGTCCTGTTCTTTTTTTTAAGAGAGAGAGAGAACAAGGAGGTGAGGGGAGGAGGGAGAGAATCTTTTTTTTTTTTAGATTTATTTATTAGAGAGAGAGAGAGAGAAAGAGAATGCACAAGTGGGGGGAGGGGCAGAGGGAAAAGGGGAGAAGCAGACTTCTGCTGAGTGTGGAGCCAACACGACATGGGGCTTGCTTGATCTCACAACCCTGAGATCATGACCTGAGCTGAAATCAAGAGTAGGATACTT